CTTATCTGTGTGCCTCAGTGAGACATCTCAACTCCTTCTTGCCATCTGTCAATCTCCTCCCCTTGATAAAGAGACTGCATATTCCAACACTGTTCCAACCAGGGTTTAAAAAAATGTTTTAAATTGTTTTGGTGTTTGAGACACTTTGTTGTGATTATTTAAAAATCAAAGCATACTATGCACTATCCTATACTGAGCTTCCTCCTACTCATTTCCAGTCTGTACACTTCATTAATTTAAAGGTAGCAGGAGGTGCTACATCATCAACCCCAAACAACTTAGTACTAACCCAGAGCGTACATGTAATACAACATTGTTCTGTCAGTGTGCTACAGCTCTAGTTCAGCAAGTCATCACTGAGCCCGTTCTCTCCTCGGGCAATGCTTAATGGAGGCTGGCAGGGATGTAGAGGTGCAGGATTCTGCACGCAAAATCCTCCCAGTACAACACATCAGCACTTCTTCATGAGCTGTTCACGTACATTTCAGGCTGGGAAAAAAAAACACTCTATGTCTCATCCTCTCCACCAGTGATAACATGAATTACCATCTTTATTAAGATGATAGATTTTAAACCAGGGGAAGAGATTTGGTTATCTTAGTAAGATCCAGCCTTAAAATCGTCTCCAATTTTTAAAGGGAACAAAGAAAACCCCATCAATTACAGAGACCATTGCGGCTTCACTAGCGCTGATGTGCCTTCAGAAAAGAAAAGAAAAAACCTCACAACTATTTCAGTTTGGAGAGATGTGATTTTCATTTATATGTAGCGCTTCCCTTCTGTCTCATCTGGGCTACAAGCACATAAAAGCAGTGGAGAAGCCGTATCTTGGATGAGCCAAACTCCCCTGAGGCATCCACACACCAAGACGTTCCACTCTGGCAGGATCTGACCCAACTGAAACTTCAACATTCCTTACTGCCAAGTTAGAAAGGAATAAGAAGTGTCCCTTCAAAGACAGGTGAATGAGAAGGAGGAATAGCACAACATACACCAAAAAAGTTGAGTTGTACTACGCCTTCTTCAGTTACATATGTCACTTTACAAGTCGGTCTGTTGAGATGCAGGAGCACTGTGTAAAATAATAGAATGTGATATTTAAGGGATTTTGCAGATGGATAATTTATTGTCTAACACTGAATGGATAGCGTAGGCAATTTTCCACCAGTACTCTCATTCTAAGTGTTCCCTCAGCCATATGTGTCCCTTGCATTGTATTCACGGCTGAAACAGCCAGCACGTTCCATTTGTGCTGTGTCTGGTTAGTCACACAACTCCCATCACTGGATAAAAGCAATGGTTTGTGCATCCAATATAATTCATATTTAGAGGATTAGATATAAAGTATTCATATTTACACATGTATTCTTTACAGTTTGCAGTTTCATGGGAAAAATACAACTTACCTCAAAAAAAAAGAAGAAAGCACTCTGCTACTGCCATTATATTTATGGGCTTTACATAAATTTCCAGATACTTCTATTCTGAATGGAAACAAAGTAGCATTTTTATATACAGAAATGTACAGTTTATCAAAAGACAACTTATTTGGATAAGAGGAGAAATATTTATAAGACCTTCCTTTGCCAAAAGTAATATAAACAGAAATTTACAACCAAAGAATTTATATCAACATCATGTCTCGTCCTGTAGTTCTTAGTCACTGAAGCAATTCCCATAGTAGTAAGTCAGTCTGTAAAGTCCGGAGGACTACACTCAGTGTCAAATTGAAAATAATACCATAAGAGAAGTTTATCAACTGCATATTGTTTTAGGAACTAGGCTGTTATTCATTCTTTCTAATAAGAGCAATATTGCAGTCTATCTTGTCTTTACCAGAGACTGGGTTCAATTAGATTAACAGCATAAAAAAAAGAGGAAAATTCATGATGGTGAGAAGCAAGAGATAAAACAGACAAGATTTGGAAAAGCTAAGGAAGCCCTGAGAATGTGCTAGATATATGGGCTGTCTTGAAATAAAAAATAACACCTCAAGTACAAGTGGAGAGTATAAGAGAGAGTGCTTTCTATTTGAAGTCACTGCTAACCTGTTAAATTCCTATAAAGCCAAATAGGACCAAATATGAGTGCTCACTCTGGGTGGTACCACAGGAATCTCCAAAATACTCAGTGTGTTAAGACACCAGCTGGCTTCCATACACAACTAAAAAAAAAAAAACGCAAAATCTAGTGATCTTTTCTTTAGACAGTCCCTTCCTGTTAAGAGGATCATTTAGTAGCTGTTCAAGTTTGAAAAGATCCGAAAGCACTCGCTGAGGCCTCTTTTCTGTCTTACTGAACTTGACGGGAAGTTCATCACCAGCTCCAGTTTCAGTACTGCTTGGCTTCAGTTTGAAGATCCCAGGCCTGACAGTGGATAGAGCAGCCTCACACCCCAGGCTCATCGTCTGGTCATAATGGCAACAAACTTGATTCTTCCTTTTATCTTTACAAGTCAGCCAAAATCACCAATAAATTATCACCAGTACTTTCAGTTCAGGTGTCAATCCCTGCAATTGTGATTTAAACTACCTGGCACTCCTGGGATACTTTGCATCTTTCAAAGACAGAATTTGCAAATATCTGAAAAAGCAAGGCTGTGGAAAGCCAGCGGGAATACACACTGGACACATTTCCAACAGAGATAGTTAAAAAAACCTGTGCAAGTGAGAAACACGATTAGAATTGTAAACTTTGAGGAAGTTTAGTTCTAGTGCAAGGGCCATAAGATCGGCCGAATCTACCCCTCAAACATATCCCATACCCAAAAACTCCATGTGCTAAGAGTATTAAGTAGGACAGTTTTCCATACCCTTTAGATTCAATGCTATAGAATCAGTTTCATTTTCAGAAAACTCGGTCTTCTCTTTTGGCATAAAACGCTTTGTAAAAGCTCAGCACATTTCTTGGCTGTCTATCTTAATTGCTCATAAAGATTCTCAGCCAACAGTCAAGTGCTTCCAAAAAAATTAACAAAAACCCTACTACATGCTAATTCCCCAGGTTTTTTATATTTCTAGTCAGTTCTCTCAATGTCAAGTGTTGGCCAATGATAATATACATTGGCTTGAAGCCATCGTCTTCTTTTTAAGCTTAGTGTGACTGCAAGACACCGAGTGGTATATCCCACCACAGAGAGCGGGGAAGACATTGCTGAACACTGTCTGCTAACATCTATCCATGTAAAAAGCACTTGCACTTCCAAAAGCACATATTCACTTTACAGAACATTCAAAAGAGCAAAATTTTGTTAGCCTTAGTTTCTGTAGGAAACAAATTATTTATCTGTTCAACTGGCATATAGCCAGGTATAAAAATATATCCATGCCATATCTGGAAGCTAGTCGTAGTATATCTGCATCTCCAATAATTTCTTGCATCAATAAAATTGTGGTTTTCTTGGTACATAGTCTGATCCTGAGCAGCTAATGGGAGATTGCTTTTTGATTTGGGGGTGGGTGGATGGGTGGATGTTGGTTGGTTGGTTTTTTATAAGCTGTGGATTAAGGATAGGAAATGGGTGCTTACTGCAACTTGTTTTCAAGACCTAAGCCCAAATTTGCATGCCCAAACTTTTGTCCACAAATAAACATATGGAACCTTTTACTTCAGCAGACAGAATCCCTATTTAAATCCTGAATCCTTTTTCCCATAATTTCTAACATTTACCTCCCCTCCATTAGCAGTGCAATCCCCCCTAAATACCTCTATGGGCAATTAATTCACACGGATAATCATCTGTCACCAGTTGATTGTCTAGAGGAAACTTAATGTGTAACTTCTGATACTCTCTCTTTAGCTTGTCTCAAAAGGATATTTGACTCACGAATAAATTACTGGAGTTATTCTGACTTTTCATAGTTTGGCATAATCTTGCATTTTCCATTTTTCTCCCTTAGGCAGATTTATTATTGATCTTAAATAATACATCTAGAGATACATTTATTTTTGTTTTAACAGAGGAAAGCAGTTATAGTTTTTGCCACATACAACATGAGTGCATTTCAACTGAAAAATCAAAATGGGGTAGAAGTAAGAGTAGTAACATTGCTGTGTAGAACTGCTTGCCAGGAGCAGAGGGACACGAGTGTCACGGTTTAGGCTCAGCTCAGTCTGCGGTTGCCTGCTGTGCCACAATCCTTCCATGCTGTTTTAAGGCCAGGTCTCTCTGCCCACACAGCTCCTTCCTTACACAGTATCGGGCCGAACGAGGGAGGATGAAAGGAGGAGGACTGCACCAAACCCAACCTCTCCGCGAGGCACGTAGCCAGTTTGAACACAAGGAAAGCCTGAACTAAAGCGCAGGTTCGGCACCATCCTTGGCTTACTGTTTAAACGTACAGGAGAGCCCAAAGGGCAATAAATTAAGTTTATTCGCTTTCGGGTTTTTAATGAGCAAATTTTAAGTACTCGCTGTGATGGTTTTCTATCTCAGCAACTTATTAGATGTTAAGGACCAACAGCACCGCCATATTGCCCAAGCTTCTAAAAAGCTACTAAAAAGGCAGAGTTTTTGACGAACGTCCAGTGCCACGCTAAGAATTCCACTCTGAATGAGTCTCTTCCCCCCTCTGCTGCAGATCAGTTTCTTGGGATGCTGACTTATCCCACAAACTAAAGCATGCCCTGTACTACAAAAGCATGCTCTGCTGTTTCACTCTTGCCCAAAACTTTCTCTGCAAAACCTTGGAGTCTTTTCACACCTAGTAACAACATGCGGTTCTGCTCAGAGCCCAAGTTTTTGAGTTTCCACATTCCTCCTTCTGCACGGAAGTGCTTTCAGCATCAATCATTTCATGATACAAAGAATCTTTTCAGGAACAAGCAATCAAAATTGCCATTATGCAACAGACATCACTGACTCCAGCAGGATATTCCCCAAAAACAGGGAAACGATTGCCGAGCGACTCCCCCAGAGTCAGTTACTAACAGCTCCAGAAATCAGTCTAATAAATAGGTTGTCCGTAAGAGCATGAATTTGTACAATGGATCTGTCTCAGACTGGCTCTTAGGGCTTTGAAAGCCCTTAGTTTTGGCATCCCTATAATCACACTTTGTAAATGTCTCTTTTCACAACTGACACATTCTTTCTCTCTCTGCTGTACAGAAGTTCACTTGAACCAGAGCAGCCCAGCCAGTGAATTCCCCAGCTACAGTGAAAACGGCAATGATACCAGTTTACTTGTTTCACCCCTTCTGGTGGCTGGAGTAGTGATCGGACTTGTGCTATTTCTGTCCTGCGTTACAATCATCGTTGGCAGTCTGCGCAAGGATGGACGGTTAAGACACCCCCATCTGAGGAGAGATGCTGTTTATGGTAAGATAGCTAGTTATAGCAAGAGAATGTTTAACTTTATTAATATCTGGTGCTACGGGCAACAAAAAGCATCTGGCCGCTGTGCAAGGGGTAAAAAAAAATAAAATAATTAAAAAATAGGATGAACAGGTCACAGACAACTTTGTAGTTTAATAGCATCTTTGTGCTGGCACTGAATTCCCATAGTAGAAGCTCCATAGTTAATGGTTAACGTAAACAGGGCCAATGCCAACAGCATTTCTTAAAGAGCTTATTTTCCCCTGATACAGTATAAGATTTCTTCTCCATCGCTAGACTCCTGATAGTTTATTTTCACACACCATTATAGCCTTGGTATAGCATACAACACAATTTCTCTGGGTTGGAAAGCCAGGCAGCTTTCCAGTTCTGCAGTGTGCGCTGACCCACAACACTGAATGACTGGGCAATCCCTTCTTTTCTGACCACAAAAGCTCGTAACTGCATATAAACAGAACAACAGGGCATCAAAATGTCATGACAACCGTCATCATCATTAATTACATCATTAATGACATCGATGTCATTACAACTGTCATCATCATTAAAGAGATTGGTTTGCTATAAAAAAGTGCCAATTCCTATCCCCCTTTCCCCTGAAAAAAATCCTCCTTACTTTAAAAGGATTTTGGAATATGAAGGAGTTAATTGTAGAATTATATTTTTGGCCAATTTGGGGTTTGCTGACCAGAAGTTAAAAGCCACTTTGTCAAGGAAATGACAGAATCTGATTATTTTCGATATTTAAGGAAAAAAAACAGTTACAACAAGTTAATTTGCAAGTCTTCAGATAGTAAAAATTCAAATGATAAATAGATTAATGAATTGAGTGAAGCATCAACAATTTTTGTCATCTGTGGTTAGGCTGCTATATCTGCTCTTTGTTATGAGAGTACAGTTCTTTTCATATTGTTGAGCTTTTTCTCTTTATATAGAAAAGATAATAATAGTGAGCCTCATAAAAATGCGTCAGCTCAAATCTTGATTTCACTGAAGTAAATCAAGTATCCACTGAAGTCAATCTGACTTCATTTAATTATTTGGACCAGGAATTTTGATGTCTAGAGGAAACACATTTCCTAAGATCAGTTTGTCCACCTGGAGCCAGGAACAATTATTTTTGGCTTTTCCAGAAACTTTTATCCAAATAAGTGAATAATGTCTATGTTTTGGGAATAAATTTGAGAGTCCAAATAAAATGCAAACTCCCATGGCAATGTACAAAGGAAAAAAAAAAAAAAAAACTAACGTCTACTATTATCGTAACATCTATTTTTCCTAGCTTTCAGCAGCTAAATTTGATATTAAATAGTTAAACCCAAATTGGAGTTACCATTTTACCCATGAACACATAAAAACATAAAGGACAATTTTCAAACTGCTTGTTAGAAATAACAATGCTAGAGAAATGGAAAAAGAAAAGCATGGTGATATTTTCAGAGGAATTTAAAAGAATCATCTGAAACTAAATTGTGCTAGTCTGCTCAAGTGAGAATTTTACATTAGCACATGCCATCCTAACATCTCAGCATGCTTCCACCGGCCAGCAGGGGAGCAGCGGGAGTCACTGGGAAGTTGGCTTCCTTCACTTCTCAAGCGAAAGGGAAGCACAGTGCTTGATAGACTGGATTAGTCCCGGTAAATTCCTCGAGAATAAATTGGCAGAGGTGAAAAGTGCCAGAAGGAGGAACAGGCAGTTCTAGTGAGTCCTGCCCTTTACCCTCTGTCGAGAGAGATGCTACTTTGATATCACTTTAGAAGCTGGCCCTTCTCTCCAGGTACTATCTTAATGCATAGAGTGAAAAGGAGAGACCACTTTATTTTTAAGACAATTGCAGGGGGGCAGGGCAGTGGAGATTGCTGCATTTCCACAATTTGGGACGTTCTTATGGAAATCTACCCTTGAATATTGAGCATTAACTAACTGTCCTCAAAGACAGCATTAAGTTCTTGGTACTTCTGGAGCTATGAGGCTCTTGTGTGAAAGCATTAAGAAAGCCGTGAAGCAGGCAGCAGGTGATTTTCTCTACTATTATCCAGTTTTTCCCCTTTTTGTGAGTGTTTTTATTGAGAATAGCATTTTCTCAAGACACATACCTACAATCAAACACCTAAGCCTCCTTTTAAAAACCTTCACAGAATTGGCAAAGTTTCAATCTGTGCGACTCCTGGGAACTTCAGCCATCCTGCTAACGTTTGAAGCTGCATGCAGCAGAACTGACACTCCTTTTCAGCCTCTGAGGCACAAAAAAGCTTTAGGCACTTGCATCTTGTAGGGCAGCACTAAATATATAGTCCCTGTGCCATAGCTTGAAAGACCACAGTTCATCTACAGATGATGCTAACTTGCTCTTAAAGGAATAGAAATGTCCTGTGAAACCTGATTGTTCCAGAACACCAGTAATTCCTCTGCCTCAGATAGGTTTTATTTTCTGATTTATGGCAGTGTTTTAAACAGTGATACTGTCTCAGAGAATCCACCATGGAGGAAGAGAGCAGCGAGTATTAATGGCTTGTTTTCCAGCTCCAGATGGCTTCTCTTATGGTGGCTCTTTTGGAGAGCTGAGGTCCACCTGCATGGAGGAGTTTCCCCCAGCTTTCGATTTTGGTTCCTATCTGGATACGCTTTCTCAGGTCAACGTCATGTATCCCGATTCACCGCCACGGTAAGCACTTTTCTAAGATTCTGAGTGTTATAGTCCATTATAGTGTATATAGCCCATACTATACAGCCTGTATAGTCCTGCACTTGCAAAGAAGAAAATAAAACCGCTAGACCTATACCCACTACAAACATGCAGGTCACACTAAACAGCCAGACTTTGTTTCGTTTAAGTTCAAGCCTCCCTTAACAGAATATATCTTTACTAAATAAAGGCATGGGTACAGCCAATTCTCATTTACTAATAGTCACATTAAAATTTATCATATTGATGAAACACACAAGGATACAATAACAGCCATGACAAGTGACAAGAGTCACACTTTAGGCCGTCTGTATCTCCTCTGTGTGCCTCATGCACCTTGAGGTTAATAAATGAAGGAATTCAGTTACTCCCTCCAATGACCCAATAGAAATTGTTTTAAACAGAATATCACTTCAGGCTTTCTCTAGTGGTGTGGATCTACAAATGGCAGATAATGGTTGAGGTTGAGCAGCCGTGCCCCTCTCCACTTTTTTTCCTTCCTCTCCTTTTTTTCCTTTTAAGCAGACTGGTTAAACTTGTATACTCACAAGGCCAATCCTTCTCTGATTGCTTGCATACATATGCAATGTAGACAGAGTCAGTAGTATGAACATACAATGTATAGATCTTTGCTTTTTCTATTCTGTGCATGTTTTACAAGCAACCCTTTACGTATTACAAAGTCATACCATATAATAAATGGGCTTTTAGAGACGGTGTAAATATTTTAGCAGAAAGCTCACATGTCAAAAATTATTCTGAGCCTGGCATCTAAATTTGTAGAACTTCATATAAAACCACTCAAAAATGTAGACTGGTTTTTGGACCCACACCCACAAGTCTTTACTAATAAAAGCCAGCCAGCTGACACCCAGGCAACAACTTGAGTGGGCAGCTGGCCAGATTCCTGAGAACAAGCTCAGACTCCTGTGAACAAGCTCTGAGAACATATTTCTTTAGCAGACAGGTCTCCTAAGATTATAGCAAAGGTTGCTTCCATTTCCAGTTTGAAACAGGCCCAGAGAAAGATTTTGCACTTCCATGGAGTTCCCTGTTTGGAAGCAGATACAGGACAGCACTAGATGATCTGGGCTTTCCTGTAAATTCTCCAGCAATTTCTGTAATAAGCCTGGCACAAGTTAACTATCTCGTGTCCTACCTTCTTCTAAGAAACTATTCTGGGCATCAGTATGAGGATCAGAGAGACATAAAGGTGTCCAACCACAGCTCCTCAAGCTTCCCTTCTGGGCTGAGTGGACTGCGTCCCGGAGGGGCCCAAGACCTGATACTGCGTACACACACAAACACTGCGCATCCCGTTAATTGGCAGTTCTGCATCCCAGGTCAAAAGTAAAGATTGTTGTCAATGGTTTTGCTGTTTTCTCACTGCTACCATAGTTAAATATTTTAGGAAAAGTAGCTTTGGCAAATTATCAAAATCTTATTAAGTTTTACATCTTAGCAACACAGCTTGGAGAAAACTTCAGGAAGAATAGAGCTTAGCAGATGGCTGAAAGCAAAGCTACGTAGAGAGACGTTTAAACTTACTATTAATACATTATAGATTCCATTGTAACTTGCTGTTCAGAAAAGCACTGCCTGAGAAGCATTGTATGAATACACTGCATTATGTAAGAGCCTGAAAAATTTCTGTATAGCTACCTTTATGCTCTCCTCCATGGCATAGCACTGAAGTGTAATTTTTTCTAATTAGTAGAGTAAAGAGATTATTTGGATTGATGGGTGCTAACAGCAGGAAAACTGACTGTCAGACATGGCCCTGAAGCATAAACAAGACATGCTTGACCTTGTGCATTTAAAATATTAACTGACTGGCATCAGTCTTGCTACATACGACATTTTGAAAAGCAGGTTTACTGCTTAAATGTGGCACTGGCTAAATTAATGCAATTCCTCCTTCTAATTCATGCAGTGCAAGGTGTAATTTAAAGCTAAACCAGCTTGCCCAAAAGCTAATAGTGCAACTGTAGCATAAACAGAACAGCAATGAAGAGCAGCACGGAAAGCAACTGTGTTGGCAAATAGCTCTCAACAGGTATTTGAAGTGAAAGAGCTCAGTGAGTGAAAACTAGTGCCCGGCCGCCACGAGCAGAGACACCAAGGCTTCATTTAACTGCGCTGTTCCAATACAGCCTGCAAGAGGCAAGAGCATTACAGCCCTGCACAGCAGGGGCTGCGGGGCTAAGTATTCTTGAGCCTCCCATTTTTGCTAAAACCATGCTTCCTGAAATGATTTCAGCAGAAAGCACAACACCTCGGTTGGGCCAAGGGGGCGATTATAATCAGTCTAGGATGTTCTCATTAGGTTTTACAGTTGGGCTTTAAACAATGAAATGAGTGGAAGAGGAATTTTAGGGGAAGGCTGATGAAACAAAGAGTCAGAGTACCCATTGCTATGGCTGAGGGAGAGCTAACTGCCTGGGACTGCCCGCTCTCGACGCTCCAAGTGAATGTCCAATACAAAATACTATTTCTATAAAAACTTTAATTGGGAAATTAATTTATGGAAAATGCCTTGGGTGTTAATAATTTAGTTGCTTTGATATCTAAATCACAAATTTCATTTGAGGTTCAATTTGATTATCACCATAGACACTTCCACTAACCACTTTCTTACATTAGATTTTACGTTCGATTTAGAGGAATACCATGCACTGAGTTTTGTCATTAGCCTGACATAGTTGCAGGGTGGTTACACAAAAGCTATTTGGTCAATTTGTCTTGACAGCCCAAAATACACAGTGCTCCTATCCATAAACATCCCTTTAGGATAATTAATGACTTTCTAATGAATCTCAGATCTGTGTTAGCATCTGTCAGATTGATTTTACACAAGGTGCAGAAGGGAAATATAAAACCAAAACACAGTGGGTACGAACGACGCAGTTTCAACATACTGGGGTTTGTATTTTAGAGCCTGTTTCTAACATGTGCAGATACTTGTAGCAGTGCTGGAAGTTAAGTTAATGTTTCATAGTCTGTGTAACCAGAGATGGCAAAGTATTTCTTTCTAAGAAACTTCAGAAACATGATCCAGGTGATGTAGCAACAATTCTAAACCATAGATTTCTTCTCCCCCCAGATTAGGAAACTTGAACAAATTCAACCAGGACAAAATATAAGAACAATCTCCCTGCCACAGCTTATCATCATAGTAAATATGACTTTGAAAGAAATACCGGGAAGCCTGTAAATCCAGTATTTGCCAATTTTTTCAACATTCACTGTGATGGTATGAGTAAAATCATCTAATTGAATTTCTAAGCTTTTAAACTTTTAAGAAGAATCAAAGAAAAAGAAAAATCAAGAGTATTATTCAGAATTATATGGCAGGCAGCAGACCTTTAATCAAAAAAGTCTTCTGGAGTTTGATCAAGATGGTTGTAGTTGTTTTATATATCCTGAACACATGCTGTTCACACTACGTGGATAATATCTTTATAGATAGAAATCACAAGCTCCTGCTCACTGTGCCCAGAGTCCATTGTAACACACACTTATAGTGAGCTTCCCTAATTATCTTTCTATATATAAGTAATAAGAAAGCTGATTAAAAATAATTTGAGCTTACATGTTTTAAATGGCCTGAAGTACAGTACCGATCAAGTAAATAAAAAATGATTGCATTTTCTTATGAGAGTCTCTAAAATCCTAACAATGAGGAGATTTGAGGTTCCCTGCATGAACGGAATTTTATCAATTTTTCACCTTTTGGCCAGAGGAAATGCATTTCACCCTACTCGACTAAGTGCTTTTTCACTCCTTAGCGATTGGATATAATGGTATGTACAGAGCTTTAGGCAACCAAGGTTATCGCCTTTTTCATCTGTGACTCATGACCGTCTAATACAGAACATCGCTGAGGAATTGCTCTGGAGCGCGATGGAGGGATTTAGCTTCAGGAATAGTTTTAATGGAAGCCACAAAAGTCCTCTCTGTATTTCACATTGAAATGTGTCCTGCAGGGCACACTACAATAAAACCTGTTAGTCACCCATTATTCTAGTATTCACATTAGAACACATTGGGCATTTTTTTGCTTAAGTGGCTCACTCTACCTCATCTGGTCATCTTGCCTAATCTATATATAATTTTCTTGAGAAAATTGTCTTGTTTAGGCTGGATAAATTCCAGCGCTCTTAATACCCATGTTCAGTCTGCATTGTTTAAACAGCCAAATCCATTTAAAAATTACTTTAAAGGAGCAAAAGGAAATTTCCCTCTAAATATAAAAACCAAGAAAAACCAAACTGCTTAAGCTATTTTGTTTTTTAAGACACTCTTTTCCATCCCCCACTTCTGAGGAAGCAGGTTAGCTGTAGCAGAAGGAAGAGGGCTTGAACCAGCTTCCTAGATTTTCTTGAAAGACAGAATTAGGCTTGCAGGCAACTAACATAGTAACTTGCTACGTTGGGCTGTATTCCTTTGGCAAGGCCACCTCTCCTGCAAGCACGCAAGGTAAGTAGCTTTTGGCACATTACAATGACAGTTGGCAAAGCACGAGATGGACATTTGTGGTTAAGTTCAGATCTCGCTTCAATACCCTCATTGAGATTTTCAGTCAGTAAAGTAAAAAATACCACTGGAAATATGACAGTTTTAAATCAAGTGGAAATCAAGACACGAGATAAAACTCTCAATTCTTTCAACTCCAAATTCTGAGCAACTAGACCCTCAAGGCTTTCACATCCCAGTGCTACTCCTAGTTAATATTAGATATAGAAACAAGTTAATTGCTTTATGATTAGTTAGTTGCTGCCTGCTGTGAAGGGATTTTTACATGACACCCCCATTTCCCAGCCCATCTAGTGAGCACAGGGAAATTGCCTTAGTGCCCAGCATCAACCCAGCCCTTGAGAGGTCAGAGTCCGCAAGCGAGACCCCAACAAGCGTACCTGGACTGGTATCTCAGGTGTCTCTGGGGTATCTCTAAACAGAGCCCTGCCCTAGCAAGGTTC